TGGGAGAAAGGTGGTTATAAGAGGTGCAGGGCTATCCAAAGCCTTGACATCTCTTAAAACCATGGTCAGGGATATGCAAGAGGTGGGGGAAGACTATCTGGTGGGACTACACAAGCTGAATGTGATCAGGATGGAGGAGGGAGGGGATGTTTCTCTTTCCGTGCAGCCCTTGGTTCAGCAATACAGTAAGGATTTTCAATCCCCTCAAGGATGGCCACCTCCACCGGAACACGAGCATATCTCCACCTTGAGGATAAGGTGGATTTTCGGGAGGGGAGTATTGTTAGACCGGTCCACTGGACCGATCCAGCCGGTTCAGGCGGGACCGGTTCACGGGCAAAACCACAAAACAACGGAGAAAGAACTCCGCCTGTGCGGGATGCCGCACGAGCTGCGATTCCACGGGACCGTTTTAGGAAGGATTTTTGAGGAAGATTAGGAGGGAATTTAAATGTAGGGACTGTTTAGGTATTTCCTTTTGATTTGTATGCATTAAATAGTTGTTTTTCCTAAGGTTTGAGCATCTTGAATTTGGCTGAAATTTGAGATCTCTTAGATTTAGGTTTCTTTGGGCTCTAGCGGCGACGGCGAATGGCGCAATGGTCCGTTTGGAGCGTATAGAGTACGGCGCGGCGCATGCCATTTTGTAAATGGTGCAAACTATATAAAAATTATAAAATAACAAGCATGAATATGAAATATTATTAAAAATGAAAGGCAAGCTATCATAATAATGAAAAACAATCATAACATATATAAGTTCGACTAAGTAACATCCAAATATCTCATAATTCAATTATTATAATCTTTTTTTAAAGATTAAATAATAATTTAATATACTCTTCTTGGAAATCATCATCATCAGCAAATGTTAAAAAAGATTCATTATCTTCATCAACATTGTCTCCTACTTCATAATCCTCTTTATCACACTCATCCTCATTCTCAATAGCAACATCATGCTTAATTGAAGATTCCTTCTCTTTCCCTTTAGATCTTTTTTGAATATTATAGCTTTTATCATAAACACCAGTAGCTTTAACAACACTTGACCAAGTTAAATCTTCATCTCCAACAATAAAGTCATTTTCTTCAGCAGACTTATCATCTAATTTTTCTGTTAGCCATTCATTTGCATCATCTATCTCAGTTAAAGAAATAGGATCAATCACATCATGATGATTGAATCTCCGAATCAATACTTTATTATATTTCACATAAACAAAATCTTTTAAGCAACCATGATCTAATTTGCTTCTTCGTTTGCTATGAAGCTGCAATTAAAATATTATTATATTACTATATTGTGAACATATATAAAAAAAACAACACATATATTATAAAATACTTACATGTTCAAAAATACTCCAATTACGTTCGCATCCAGATGAACTATATGTTAAACTTAGGATTTTGATAGCAAAGCTTTGTAAATTGGGAGCTCCTTGTCCATATGACAACAACCAATCAGCTGGAAGAAATGATTTTTTTTAATATTATATACATCAATCTTAATTTTTTTGTAAATAATGATACCTGGAGATCGGGTTATTCTTTGTCTTACAGCTGGAGGAATACCAAATAGTCATTCACCCATAATGTATAAATTTAATTTATTATTGATTTTATCTTCTTCAGTTACATCTTGAAATAATCTTCCAATACATTGGTATTATTTCCTTATTTTTGTCAATATTAGGGTTATTGAAGAAATATTCAGTATTTAAAAAATGTCCCACTGCATGTAGAGGCCAGTGTAATTGCACTTCTCATATTCTATTAATCATTTTAAAAATTTGATCATACTTATCACTGTTATTGAAGCTTGCAGCAATTGCCTCTTTTGCTCTATAAATTGCTTCATATATGTAAGCTATTGGGGGCTTCTTCTCTCTATCAACCAATTTAAGAAACTTTAATAAAGGACCAGCTATTTTTAGGGCATACAATATTGTTTTCCAAAATAATTGTTGTAAGATTATATGTGGAGTTTGTTTTGCTTTAGTCTCTTTCACATAAGAACCCAAGATAAACTCCTCACATGTAAACATTTTCTTCAAGTTCAGTTGTTGTTGATGAAAACATTGTAAAGTTAAGAAAGTTGTTGCAAAACGAGTTTTTGCGGGCTTGACAAATGCTCATTGTTTTGTGCACCTTCTCATTAACTCAAATAAGCGAGGCCTAGAATATATAAAACTGTGTATTGCCACCATTTCTCAAAGCATCGCCTTAGCTTTTGAATTTTGAAAATGTCCTCCTTTATTAAATCTAAACAGTAAGCAACACAAGGAGTCCAATAAATATGAGGATATTTGTCTATCAATAATTTTCCTGTTATGTTATTATAATTTAAGTAAAGATATATAAAAATTCTTCATGAAATAACACAGCTTTAGAATAAAAGTTGTGACAAACCTGCAAAAATATTTTCGGATGCATTATCAATGACAAATTGGATCACATTATGTGGTCTAATAACCTCGATGTACTTACAAAAAAGTTCAAACATTTTCACAGCATTCTTGGAGAAAGAACTAGCATCAATTAACTCTATGAATACACTACCTCTTGGACAATTAACAAGAAAATTGATTAAGCTTTTCCCATTCCTCGACATCCATCCATCTGCCATTAGAGAACTACCATATCGTACACAATATTCTTGATGGCGTCGTAATAGCTCATGTGTATGTCCAACCTCTTTTTTCAAACAAGTAACTCGTACCTTATGATAACTAGGAGGTTTCATACCAGGTCCAAACTGCCCAAGTGCCTCCACCATAGCAGGGAAACTATCATAGTTCATAGCATTAAATGGAATCCCAGCATCGTACATCCATCTACTAAACACTTGAATAGCTCTTACCCTCATTTCTTTTTTAGTTGCATCTATTTTTTTGCTAAACTGACCTTTTCTATGCTTTACTATATCAGGATTTGGTGTAAGGAAAGTATCTAATGGATCTTTAGGTCGTGATGTTTTGAAGATAGATGTAAATGTCGAACTTTGACTATATGTGTTAGATTTATTTGTCTGCAACATTTTAAATGGTTCAACAAAAAAATATCATCTGTCATCACATCAAAGTCTTCTCTTTCTCCTTCAGTAAGGTTGACATTTGATAGGTCATTAAATTGTTCCTTTAAATCTTTTTTTTTTCAACATGGATGCATTAATTTCAGACTTCACGTGCTCGGGACATTTTGAGCAAGGCATTACATTCCTAAAACCCCCAACGAGGTGTTGTTTGTGGCGTGTAATTCCTCATTTTGTTATTTTACCACAAAAAAATGCATGTCACACTGTTGTTGTCGGATTCATTTGTTAGTATAACATATTTCTATGCTGGATCATTTTTTTAAGATTAAACTGAATATGACATTTTATAATCACCTAAAAGCAAACAAATTTAGATAAAAGAAACATAATATTGTCCAAGAAACATAATATGCAGGTTGCCGGGAATCCAAGGGGGCGCTGCCCCCTGGCGAGGTTCGGTCAGGTCGCGGGGTCAACGGGCAGCGCCCTTGCGGGGATTTCCAGGGCAGGACCCCTGGAACAAATTTTATTTGTAAGAGTAATTTTGAAGTTCGTAAGTCATTTGTATGAAAGATACCGAGCGGTACCGAGCGTGTACCTAGCGGTACTGAGCATGTACATAGCGGTACCGAGCAATACCGAGCAAGTACATAGCGGTACCGAGCGGTATCGAGCATGTACATAGCGGTACCGAGTGGTACCGAGCACGTACATAGCGGTATCGAGTATGTACTTAGCGGTACTGAGCATGTACTTAGCGGTACCGAGCATGTACCTAGCGGTATCAAGCATACCTGTTAAGTTATAAATTCTTGTAAGAAATAGCTGTGCAAAACAACAGAGCTGTGCGAAACAGACGGACTGACGTAGGTTGCTAATCAGAGTCAGCTGGTAAGATTTTTATTGAAACAAACGAAGGAGGGGGGCATATTTGGCGGAAGCACTGCTCTGTGGGACGTTTCGGCGGAAGCAATGACTTCGACTTCGGGACAGATTCGGCTAGATTATGCGGAAGCAGCGAATGCAGCAAACATAAAACAGAAAACCATCGACTTCGGTATAGATTCAACGACTTCGACTTAGGGACTGCGGGATGTGTTCGGCGGATGCAGGAAACAGAAACTCTTTTCGTGACATGAGGGAAATGAACAGTCGTTTATCTTAAAATATAAATATATTTTTAAATATAAAAAATATTCATAAGTATAATGAAATTTAAAAACAATTTGACGCTTTATTTTGCGCCATGCACCATGGCTCACATATGGTGCAAATAGCGCGTGGTATTTTAAACACATGCGCCTCGCCATGAACATGACGCCGTAGGTGCGCCGCGCCGCGCCGTGCGCCATGGCACGCGCTATTTTGCGCCATTGAATTATATATATATCATTTGATTTTAGAGCATGCTGTCCTTCAGTTTGGTATGTTTTGATTTTGAAACAATGTGCAAGAGATCAAAGAATGGAGGTTGTACCAAACTAAACTTTAACTGTTGCCTTAGCAATCTCTATGTGAATGATGGTGTTGACGGTTTTGACTTTTCAAGTTTTCAGAACACACTTTATCTGGATGATTTGCTATGCGTATGCTCACTGGACTGCCAGCTGCTCATTCAAAAGTTGGACACCATATATATTTTGTGTTGTTTTTGGGTGCTGAAGATGCAAAGTGATACATCTAAAATCAAAATCATACCTAATGCCTCTTAGGGGGGACTTTTCAAGTGACCATACTAAACTGGGGTGTTAGATTTTCGACCTTTGCATCTAAAAGAGTATTCATCTGCATCAAGTAAAAAAATTGCATAGTTCAGCCACTGCCCTTTCGTTCCTTAGTTTGGAGAGAACTGCAGTTATGCAGTCATTTAAATACCTGTTGTTTGAACAGTTTTACACGTTAATTATATTTGTGATTCTTCATATTTAAAATTACATTTTTTTCTTCTACATCTGCTCAGCATATACACCACTTAAGGAAACTCGGACATGTTGAAAAGCTTCGACAAGCAAGGGAATCAATGAATAAATATTTTCCTTTAAGCCCAAAAATGTGGCAGGACTGGGCAAAAGATGAGGCTACTCTAAATCAAGGGTATGTTCTCTTCTAATTCTAGAATGTACTTATAATGAGGTCTATATGCTTCTATTATCCTTATCTGAATCTTATATTTAATGAGTGTACAATGAGTTTTAAGAAGCTTCCTTGGGTTATTACTGATTATGTTTTTGTTTTATATTATTTTATGTAACTTTTATTCATGGATATACTGATCCAAAACCAACTCGTGCTGTTTGTGTCCGCTATAATGCATATGAGTGCATTGAAGAACGATGTTCTGTTGAAAACAAATGGTTCTTTTTGCCTTAGAAGTTGGGTTAACTGAAAAAGCTACATGCGGGGAAAGAATGTCACATGCCTCCAAGGCATCAAAAAGTTTTTGTTTTGCTATGGTTGCGTTTATTTTTTGGGGCTTTCACTTTGTTTTTTCTTGTAAAATCCTTGGTTTATTTTTTCATTAATAGTCAACTAAGAAGTTGCTGTTCTTGTGACTAATTTCTATTTAATTTCTTTCTCACTCCCAACATTTCCTTACTGTTTACTGTTTCAAGCAATTGTCTTTTTATTGGGCCAATTTGAAATGATCTGTTGTCATCTGCCATTCTTATGAAGTTTCCGGTGACCTATTATTCTAGACATTTCGTAATATTAAACTGTGGTGTGCTTTTGGTGCAATTACTACATATTATATGAATATTACTGAAAATTTTCCTAAAGCATTTCTTATAATTTGTTTCTTCATTCCATAGGTCTGAAAATTTTGAGGAAATTGAGAAACTTTATGAGCGTGGGGTTCATGAATATTTGGTAGGTCTAATTTTTCATGCTCTTCTGACTACTCAGCAGAAATGCTGCATTAATCTTGTTATTTTACGTTCTTTGCAATACAGTTTGTGCCTCTATGGTGTGATTATCTAGAATTTGTTCAAGAACATGATCCTTTGGTGTTAGAATGTGCACCGGGTGGTTTATCAAAGATGAGAACTTTATTTGAGCGTGCTCTTACTGCTTGTGGATTGCATTTTTCTGAGGGCAGCAATATTTGGGAAGCATACAGAGAATTTGAGCAGGCAGTTTTTCTAACAATTGATGGGAGTGATAATGAGGTTGAAGTTTGTTCCCTTGGAAAAAGAACACTATTCTTACATATTGGGTCATCTATGTAATGTGAACAATCTTCTTATTTTTTCCTACAGGAGAAAGTAAAACAAGCTCAACGCATCCGAGCTCTATTCCATCGTCAGTTATCTGTTCCTTTAGTGAATCTGAGGTCAACTCTCACAGATTACAAGCTTTGGGAGGCTGAACAAGGGAATCTAAATGATGTGAACTCCGAGTTTGATGGAGTTCCTAGCAATATTGTTTCTGTATACCAGAAATCCCTGGAAATGGGCAATGCTCGTGCTTCATATGAGGCACAGCTCTCCAATCATGATGCTACTGAGGTTGATAGACTTCAGCATTTTGTGGTATGATGCTTCACTTAAAAAATGCATGACCTTATTCATTATGATTATTTTGTTCTTCATAGAATTTTTCATCTTCTTGATTTAATTTCTTGTGATTGATCTCTCCTAATTACAAAAAACCATCTAATTAAACTTGCTTCTTACTCTTTATTATGCTTTGCTGGCATGAGAGCTATTACAAGAGTTGGATCCCATTGCTTAGACATGAATTGTTTCAAATTGATTAGTTCATTCTTAGACTGCAGTGTTCCATATTTCCTTGACACTTCCATAGATGCTATTGGAAATTTGCTTTATTTGAGATGGAAGTAATAGATGAAGACGTTTCCTTTGGAACTTAAATTTAGTTGTGGATGGATGGTAGGTAGAAAGTTTTTTAGGTAAAGGAACGTACTTACTATGTAATGATTTTTTTGTCATGCAGCTTTTTGATGACCTAGTCTTTCCTTTTCTATTTCACGAACTGGTGTTTCTTTTACCATGTTAAATACTGATAACAGCCTATTTTAAAGTTTAAAGGTTTGACACGACAATGTATTAAAAATGCACAGAGATTTATTTTGCACAGAGAATGCAAAGATAGCCCTTATAAATAAGATTTAATGATGCAAGCAAACATGAATAGTTTGAAATAATGAAATAAGTTCCTTAAGTTGAATTACGTTGTTTACCTTTGGCTTTGATGTATATGCTACCTGATGTAGAACTAAATGCTTAAAATGAATGTAATAAGAATTTGTACGATTCCTTGATAAGAGCAAGTAAAATTAGAACTATTAGCAAATTAAAATGACAATAGAAAATAAAAGAGGGGTGCCTACGTTTAGGTTAAGCCACATGCCAAGCACTTGGAGAATCAAAACAAGTTAGAAATGTTAAGAGAGTTGCTATTTGCATGTTTTACATTCTTGTAACTTGTATTATTTTGATGATTTCAAATATTATTATTTTATGTATAGTTATCTCCTAATTTTTTTTGGAAGATTTGTTTTTACTCTAGTGTGTACTAACATTTCAGGAAAATCAACTCCAAACTATGAAGACTTCAAATCAAATTCAGCATCCAATCATTTGTAAATTAAAAGCTTTAAAAATGTTTTTGAATTGAGAGAGAGTGATTGTAATTGAGTGAATATTCACAACACACACATATGGGGGAATAATTTTTGTGAACTGATCGGGACGAACATAGTTCGTACGGGACGATCATGTCAATTAACCCCTCAGAAGAGCAATGGATCGAACAGGTAGGAAGAAAATTTCTAAGTCCTATTCGTCCGGACGAATTTAATATTCGTCCCGGGACGAACGCCTCTGGATTCTCACTTTGCACTGTCCGTCCAAACGAACTGCATGGTTCGTCTATGGACGAGATTCTCTGTTTAAAATCGTCCAGGACGAAATTTACCCTTCGTCCCTGGACGAAACTCTCTGTTTAAAATCGTCTAGGACGAAACTCGTTCGTCCCAGGACAAAACTCGTTCGTCTCAGGACGAACCAAACCGACTTACCTCAGTTGGTTACGTCCTGCAGGGATTTGGAAACCGACCTATGGAATAACTGTTTCGCACTGGAGGAACCTAGTTCGTACGGGACGATGATCGTGTACGAATATAGTTCGTACCAATATACATTAGGATCGTTTCCGACACTTTAAATAAAATCGTCCAGGACGATCCACGATCGTACGTGACGATCCACTGCTACAGAATTGAAAATTTGCAGTTTTTGGGCAGTTTTTCTTGTCTTTCCTATATATAATCCAAATTAGACTGCCACAAAATATTTTTGGTCATTGATCTTCGTGCCTATTGAAAGAAGACTCAAGGAGAGAGTGAGAGAAAGCATTCAAAGAAGGATTTCTTCACTAGAGCGTGAAGGCTTTACTTGGTGTTCAAAGGTAAGATTTCCTACTTGTGATTTGAGATTTCTTCACTATTTTCTTTCTTCTTTCTAGATTTCTTGTGAGGAGATCTGTTAAGGAGATCGGGTTCTCTGTCCACACTAGGAGAGTGTGAAAGGACGAAGGGTTCTCTGCCACACTAGGAGAGTGTGAAAGAACGAAGGGTTCTCTGCCCACACTAGGAGAGTGTGAAAGGACGAAGGGTTCTCTGCCCACACTAGGAGAGTGTGAAAGGACGGACGGTTCTTTGCCAACACTGGGGATAGTGTAAAAGGATGATGGTTCTTTGCCGCACCGGGTAGTGGTGAAAAGAGTGTTTGTAAAGGCTTCTCCGTCTTGCTGTGAGTGCAAAAGGAGAGACACTATTGATATTAGTGCAATACTCAGAGGGTGCCTCTGGGGAGTGGATGTAGGTCTGGTTTAGACCGAACCACTATAAATCTTGTGTCGTTTGTTTTTACTGTTTTTTTAATTTTCCGCATTTTATTATTTAAAAAGTTGTGGTTGAAAAACTTTTTGTAAAAATTCATTAAAATTTATTTTCGGTTCAACTCATCTAAAAGAAGAATAATTTTTTAACTACCAATTCACCCCCCTCTTGATAGCCGTGGGCATTAACTTAGGTTTAACAACCTATTCACTAGCCTCAACAAGTGGTATCAGAGCTTTGTTTCAAAATCATAAGTTTAAACTACTTTTTAATCAACGTAGATGGCTACATTTGGAAACCGAAACACACCTGAGGGTTACTCTATTACTAGACTACTGTTTGACAATATATCTTTTGATTTTTGGAAAACACGTATGCCTACTTTCTTACAGTCTCTTGATTATCGTATGTTGATCTTAGTCCAGGAAGGATATACAAAACCAACTAGATTAGTTGATGGAGTTAGAGTTGAAACACCTTTTGCAGACTGGACTGTAGAAGAACGTGAATTAGCACAACTAAACGCTAAATGTTTGAATAGTTTCTTTTGTGCTTTAAAATCTGAAGACTACATGCTGGTTTCCACTTGCAAAAGTGAAAAAGACATATGAGATTGACTTTGTATAACATATGAGGGGACTAATGAGGTTAAACAATCTAGACTTAATATCTTGTTGCATGATTATGAACTGTTTCGCATGAAACCTAATGAATCCATTTCTGATATGTACACAAGATTTACTCAAATAGTCACCTCCTTGCATGCACTTGGTAGGGAACTAACGAATGCTGAAATGGTTAATAAGATTCATCGTTGTTTACCTACTACTTATGATGCTTAAATTATTGCAATTACAGAGTCTAAAGATAAAAACATTTATTCAATTGACAATCTTCTACGTTCACTTATTGCTTACGAGCAACGAGTTAGCCAAAGAAAGATTGATGCAGGTGAACCACGAAAGGAGAAGAACATAGCACTAAAAGTGGAAGAGTATGAGAGTAAACACTCACAACCTGAGGATGAAGATGACATTGCATTAATGACTAGACAATTTAGAAGCTTTCTGAAAAGGAAGCAGAAAAGACTCTAGCAATGGAATAGAGGTAAATTTAATAAAAATGACAAGGTTTCTAATGATGTGATTTGCTATGAATGCAGGAAACCTGGTCATATCAAGACTGATTGCCCAAAATTCAAAGCTACTAGCAAGGACAAGGTAGAGGAGAAACCAACTGTAAAGAAGGGCAAGAAGAAGTTTCAAAGAGTTTTCTGGGCGGACTCAGCTTCAGATTCATCAGAGACTGAAAAGGAAGAAGAAGTCACCAATCTTTGCTTGATGGCAGATAGTCTTAATTAGTCAGATCAAGAAGAAGTAAGTGACTTAACTTATGATGAATTATTTGAAGTTTATGAACACATGCATGATGCATATAAGAAAATGAAGAAAATACATGCTACTCTAAGTTTAAAATTTGAAGAACTTCAAAAGGAACA